GATGTTGGGGAAATGTTGGGGGGGATGTTAGGATAGAAGGGTGGATGCTGGGTGGATGTTGGGAAGGGGGTGTTTTGGGGGATGTTAGGTGGATGTAGGGGGAGGAGGTGTTTGGGGAGTTGAGGGGATGATGAGGGAAGGGGTGTTTTGGGTAGTGGGGATGTTGGAGAAGGTGTTAGGGAGGTTTGGGGGAAAAGGGCTGGATGCTTAGGGAAGTCGAGGGAAGAAGAGGAGGATGTTGAGGATGACAGAAAGTGGATGTAGAGAATGTATGTAGTTTGAGGGATGAATGTCTAAAGGGGATGAGGACAGTGATTTATTCATTTAAGTAATTAGAAGTCGTAGCTACTGAGACATCAGGAAAAAATTATCATGAACATTTTGCCCTCTTACATCAACATTACCCATTCATACACCAACATTACCCCTTCATACATCAACATGATGAATCAATGATCCCAGATAACTACCAATTTAAAAACGAATGATATTACTGCGTGGCAGACAACATGTGAGATAAGGTGATAACACGAGTGTGGGAAGGTGTCTGAGATTCGCCAGAGTGGTTACCTTATCAGCTGTTATCTGTGCAATCACTCGTTTCAAGCACGCAATTCATTCGTCTTATCAGCTGTTGTCGTAGCTATCAGTGCTTTAATACTACAATACAATTGGCTTATCAGTTGTCGTCGTAGCTATCAGTGCTCTAATACTACAATACAATTAGCTTATCAGTTGTCTTCGTTGATATCAGTCTTCTCACGAAACGAAAACTATTGTCTTATCAGTTGTCGTGATAGCGATCAGGCTTCCCATGCAACCAAAACTTGCGTTATCAGTGTCGGTCCCTCTGATGTGAAGACGATAGTTCAGATCACGACTGATAAGGAGTCTGCCATGTCATAAATATATGGCAAAGAGAACGATGAAAAGATTCCTTATAGAGGGTCAAAAATATTTGTGACAACGAATGTATTTTTTTATTTTTGAATGCAACAAACAGGGGAATTAATTTTTTTTGGAAGAGCTAATACCAAGAACTACCAAAACAATTCTCATACGTATTTATTCAGTATGGCCACCCTTATTTTTAATGGCGGCCTCAAATGAGACTCGAAAGATGCCGGCACATTCTGAATCTCATTGATGATGGCATGCTACCCAATTTGGAGTTCAATGACAAGAATAAATTTGACAATGAACAAAGAGTTAACCATCGTAATGACAGAGTTTGGATTCGGGATGAATCTGTGGCAACCAGAAGAGTAACGCGACGTCAAAATCCAATGTCCGTGATGGTTTGGGCCGCGGTAACAGCCACTGGGAGGTCCCCACTCGTTTTTGTCCCCCTCAGGAGTGAAATTGAATAGTCAGCGATACATTTCGGACACTTTGGAAGCTTAGTTGTTACTTTGGTGCAGTAAACACTTCAACGGCACACCATGGAGTTTTAAAGAAGAGTCTGCGCCGTAAAATGATTCAAATGTGACCCAAAACTAGATTCAGGGTCACATCCCAGCGTTCATTAGCAAAAATGAATGGCCCTCAATAAGCCCTGATTTGAATCCTCTCGACTTCTGTAGGCGGGCTATTTTAGAGCTCAGGGCCTGCAGAATACCGCATGATTCTTTATATAGTTTGAAATCTAAATTGAAACAAGAATGGGACTTGATCCCTCAAGAAAAGCTCCGAGTCTCCTGTGAAGCTTTCGTTGGAGGCCGTCATTAAAAATAAGGGCGGTCTTATTGAATGAACACGTTTGAGAATTGTTTTGGTAGCTCTTGGCTACTAGCTTTTCTAGCTCACCCAATAAAAAATTCTGTTTGTTTCATGGAGAAATAAGAAAAACATGCGTTACCATAAATATGGCGGAACCTGCATTATTGATCAAAACGATTGTAGACTAGCTGCATGATCCGTTCGGAAATCTACGATAGAAATTACAATTAGGTCATACAACTTCCCACATATAAAATTTAGACCCAAATTCACTAACTAAACACATAGCAACAAAAATTTTAACGTAGAAGGAAAAATTTAAGAGGATATGAACTATATAAGCGTCATTTACGCAAGGTTTCAGTTAAAAAAATTCAAATATTCTTTAATTTACAAATCGGAAGAACTGAGCATGGAGGCATGAGTTATGGGCGCAGCTAAATAAGGCGGTCGCTCACGTAGGTTTCCAGTACGGCCACTCCTACCTTTGTGCTCCGTCACTCTAATATAACAGTTGCGTGACGTCAGAAAGACATTGTAAAAATTGCCTTTACGAAATTGCTCTTAAGCTCGCACAGTGAATAATATTAAACGAAAATTTTAATACAGTGTATATAGATCAAAACCCATCTAGGTACATACAAAACCCAGAAACATACAGGTACTAAAATATACAAACGCATAAACAGAAAGAAATAAGAAGGCGCGTGAAGAGAAACGAATGAGACAAAACTTAACAGCGAGGAAAACAGACCTTGAAACTGAACAACATTACACCAGCAGCGTTACACCAGCAGCGTCACACCAGCATCGTTACACCAGCAGCGTCACACCAGCAGCGTTACACCAGCAGCGTTACACACCAGCAGCGTTACACCAGCAGCGTTACACCAGTGTTATGCATTAACTTGACCTTCAACTTGAGTTGAAAGTCAAAGCTTTTCAAGTTGAACTTGAGTTCGAACCCTCGCCTCACGTCGCTAATTGGCGCCCAACAACACCTCGCCGTCCTCGCCCTTTCTTCGTCGTCACTGCCGTCCTCGTCGTCGCCCACGTCCTCTTCCACGTCCACGTGTCTATGGTTGTCGTCGTCCACGTTGTCCACGTCGTCCATGTCGTTTATGTCGTCCATGTCGTCCTCCTCCACGTCCACGTCGTTAACGCCGTCCTTCGCGTCGTCATCTTCGTCTCTTTTTTTTCATTTTTAATGTAGTCCTCGTCGTCGCATTTGACCTCCTCATTGTCTTCGTCGTAATTGCCACCTCAGCGCCATCGTCTCCTTCATTCTCGTCCTCGTTGTCCACCTCGTCGTCCATTTCGTCCACCTCGTCGTTCTCTTACCGCCGTTCTCGTCGTCGTCGTTCTTGTTGTCCTCGTCGTCACCCTGCAAGTTATCCTCATTGTCATCCTCTTCCTCCTTCTCGTCACCGTCTTCCTCTTCGTCGTTGTCCTCGTTGTTGTCCTCGTCATTGTTCTCCTCATTGTCCTCTTCGTCACTGTCCTCGTCATTGTCCTCGTCGTTGTTGTCGTCGTTGTCTTCGTCATTGTCCTCCTCGTCGTTGTCCTCGTCGTTGTCCTCGTTGTTGTCCTCGTCGTTGTTGTCGTCTGTATGTGCGTCTGAGCACAACAGGCCTCACCTCCGTCACCTCCAGCCCCGCTAGACTAAACAACAGCAGCCAACAACAGCCAGTAACTGCAAAAGGCAATAACTGAAGGAGACAATAACAGCGGAATCGGGAGGCAATAGCAGCAGGAGACAATAACAACGGAATCGGGAGGCAATAATAGCAAAAATAGCAATAACAACAGAAATAGCAACAGCAAAAATAGCAAAATCAGTAACAATTAATGACAACAATAACGGCCGGCTACAACCAGGGGTCATCGGGTACGGCGGACCGCATTCATCCGGTTAATTTCGGCCCACCGCCTCGAGCGCCAGGCAACGTACGCAAATATTCCGATAAATACTGATATCCCTATGCTAATATATCCTATCATAATGTCCCATTGGCCCTGTATCACAATTTCCTATTGAACTAATATTCAAATAACTTTAACAACCCGATATCTCAATATACCAATATCCTTGTTGAGGTCTCTCATTTACAAATAGTTAATAGTTTATGTAGGTTATATCACGGATGCTTGTTGCAGTAGCTCGGTCTAAAAATTCACGATTTTCTTTTATTGTAGAGACAAGCTCTAGTTTTTTGATAATTCGGTAAGAGCATTGTTTCTATTTGTCTATATATCTGTTTTATGCCTAGTTTGAGTTATACGGGATTTGCTACACGGTAGAATTTGAAATGGTATTTATATGAATTCAAGTTCAAATTTTAAACTTCGCATCTTCAAATTAGGAACTCAATAAGCTGTTACTGTATCGAATCATCTGTCAACCTGGCCTAAATAACTCAAAAGTTTTTTTATAATCCCTATATCCCAATTTACAAATAGGTCTAGTGCCCTAAAATAACAATATTTTGCAATATAAATCGTAAATTTAACGAACGACCGAAAATGATACAAAAAATCTTAATGAACAAAGGGAACGGGAGCTGTTCTTAATGAACATAGGGTGACTCATTGCCGATATATAAAGCGTTTTTCGACGAACTTTAACGTACTTAAAGATATATCAACAAACTTTAACGTACTTTTGCTCACTTAGGAGAATGCTAGAAAACTTTAAAGCCTTATTTTAACCTAATTTTAACAAGCTTTAATGTATTTAAATTACTTTTATTGGAACTTTGACGTATCTTAAAGTTCAGCAACGAATTCAACCGCAATTTATCCACTTAGACTTTATGCTTCGCGGAAATTTCATAAATTCGAAGACATTTGTGAGGGAAATTAAAATTTCTAACGAATTTTTACGAAGTTAACGAAGTTTAAATGATGAAACATTATAAAAAATTAATATAACAAACTGATGAAATATTACAAAATACAATAAACTGATGAAATATTACAAAATACAATAAACTGATGAAATATTACAAAATACAATAAACTGATGAAATATTACAGATATAATATAACAAACTCGTGAAATATTACGAATAAAAGTAAATTTCAACGAAATATATTTGCTGGCTTCTCACCAATTTTAAGGATCATTAACGAACTTTAATTTATTTTAACGTAACGGAGAGAGGCATAGGAGAGAGGAAGAGGGATCAAGTGGATGGCAAATATTTGGATAAGGAATTAGGAGGATGAACGGATACGATGGATGTGAGATGAGGCAGAAAAGAAAAACAAGAGACGCGATTAAGTACTTTATTTATGGGCTCGATAATGGGTGAATTTCGTTATAGGTACTTTTGATAAGTGATCGTTTTTCATGGTGAATAACAGATCAAAGTGGATACGGGATCATGGTGGACAAGTGATCAAGATGGATAAGAGATAATCATGATTAAGGATTCAATAGTGATAAGGCGAGGTGAATATCCAAGACACTCAGCACCAGCGCGTTGTATGGTCTGTTACTCACCCTTGACTCATTCCATATTCAGCGGTATGCTTGCCTTGACTCAGTTCTTGGTATTCATGTTATTCATTGCTGCTATTCACGTCTGATATTCACGGCAGTTATTCATGTCTTGGCTTCACCTCAGCGACATTCGATCTGCTGAACCGTCTAGACGGTCGACCTTGTTTTTTTTACTTTTTATGTAATAAAAACTCAATTTCTGTTTCGCATTTACTTGCTGAACATAATAAATTCCAATTAAAATCTTCGGGATCAAATTCAATCGTTCAAGAGAAACTGACCGTTTGTTTATTTCGCGGGCAGGCACCAGAAAAAATAAGGGGGAAAAATGAAAAAATATCTAAATAAGAAAAGAAAGATGCATAAATAAGAAACGAAAAAAATATAAAAGAAAACATTTTAAAAGCGAGTTGATGAAGCCCTGGCTGCTGGAGCAGCACAACACGACGCCTGCTGTAATTAACGAAGATATACGACGCGCCAAGAGTCTAATTATGCATAGAAACATGGATTATGCATAGCAATGCATAGAAACATGCATAGAAACAATGTCTTAGATCTCCATGCATGTTTAAACCCGACGGCCTCTATTGGGAATTTAGTGGCGCGGTATCGGTGGCCGCGCGTACGCCGCACATAAGGCGACCGTGGGTTTTTAATAGGGATAAATTGAATGAATTTCAGAGCGCGACTCGAGGCGAGTGAGAAATGAAGTGATGCTGGAGCCACGCCGCCTCAAGACAACACCTAAATATTTAGTGCACATCGATATATTTTACTGCACCATGAAACGATGCACGAATTATGAACGGAGATATGGTGATGTATGTTAAGTGAGAAGTAAAGTAACGTAAAGAAATAATGATGTTGCATCCACGCTGCTGCAGTACAGGCAAAATTGTTTAGTTATTCGCGCAAACGAATTTGTAAGCGTCAATGTTTAATTAACTTTGGTTATTCTTGAAAAACTTTGAAAAATCGCCAACAAAAAACACAACCAGCAAAATTTTAAAGCTTCTACGCAAATAATTTTTTTGTTGCCATTGTTTTTATAAACTTCTTCCAACTGCTAATGTTCTCAAAAGTTTGGCTAAAAAATTATTTCGGAGACATTTTTCACAACGGTGCTAGTGCCCTGTAGGCCCACATGACATCTGTTATGTAGGTAGGCCTACATGGCACCTGTTGTGTAGGCCTACATGGCCACTTTTGCGTAGGCCTACATGGCACCTGTTGCGTAGGCCTACATGGCACCTGTTGTGTAGGCCTACATGGCACCTGTTGCGTAGGCCTACATGGCACCTGTTGTGTAGGCCTACATGGCACCTGTTGCGTAGGCCTACATGGCA